GCTTTTATTACTGCCTTGTCATTTGCATTTTATAAAATTTGGTTTGTCATGACAGAATAATACTGCCTGTACGGCTTACTTTCGGAGAAACAGAGGTTATTCATAGGAATTCAGAAGCACACAATGACTGCACATGATTTCAGTTTTTGTCTTCTTATGAACAAGCACAATATTTCTTCCTGTAGCTCTTCGTCGAGCTGGTCTGCTGCATCGAGGGTTAGTTATTAATTTTGCTGGAAGATTAGCCTCATTTCAGAGTAAACTCATAACTGCTGAAACGAACAACGTATTGGCCATCAAAACTTAACGGTCTCACGCCATCAGAGTTTCACTACCTCATACAACTCGAAATGAGACATTTATTCCGTCCCATTTCCTCTGTTCCTGGAAGAGGACCAATCCGGTGCACCAGTCGGATGCAGGGCATTTCCGGCCTTTGGTGCTACCGAGCAGCTCTTCCGGCTATTCTTACTGGTGCCATCTTTAATTCTTCGGCTGTGCGGGGTAAACGTGTTCGGTCATTTCCGTGATCGATTCATCCTTTCGGTAGTTTGTTTAGACGCGATTGATCGCTTCATTCTTTCAGCCATGGGAGACATACGGTTGTTTCCATTTGGTTGTAGATGGTGGTACGAAAATAGCCTGCTATATTCCTTTCGACTCACTCTCGATAACATGGAGGAATAAAGTCCATAATTACCGGTTCTGTACAGTGAATTAGATACAAGGATCAAGAACTAAATTATTAATTATTTTGAGTTATTAACTCCATGACTAACACAGTGGCCTTAGGTGTAATGCGTCTCTTCTATTTCTTCCCACGTTACTCAGAATTCCGCGAAAGGAAATATTGATAATCTCGAACGTCACGGTGCTTCTCGATTCGGTGGCTAGCGACACCCAGGAGTAAAATGACTTTTAAGCGTAGTCAAAGACTAACGTCTCAATCAGCATCACATCGATTTTCATGAGGTGCGTCTGTCGCTTGAATCCCTTCATTGACGTCCATCCGTATCGAGTAATAATAAACAATTCCGATTGTTTCCGGATTCAAGGTATTGCGTCTCTGATTAGTTTAGAACATGGCATCATTTAGAACATGGCATCATTCACCTCATACCGCATATTTAATAATAAAGGCTAACAGGGCAGCGGTCGTATTTTCGTTATAGTCGACGTGTGATCACTCCAACGTCATCAGACGTCGAAAGGATTATACAGTTCCAGTCTATAATGGAAACAGCAGGTTGAGGCATGTTGCATGAGGATGACAAGCAGACATTTGGAAGCCGAAACGAGTGCATCAATTTCGCCTTTCCGGTAGAAAATTTACATCACTGAAGTTGGCTGTAGATCAGACGGTATTTAAAGGCTGATTCCGTAAGAGATCAAAGAGTATAGGGCCAGAAACCAAGCATCCTTTAAACGCATGTGCAAGCAAGTGACATCTGAAATGGCTCGACTCAACCACCGGTACTTCGCTGCCATTTTGGCCTCTGCGAATACGAAGGATAAAAGGACTGCGATTAATTGACCGAGCAATCGGAAACCGAGATACTAAGCCATGGTTGTACATCCTGAGACTCTGATCAACATGTTTTTTACGATTAAAAATGAAAAAGTTGTTACTGATTTGCTTAACAATTTTCCTCAAGCAACCATTATGAATTACAAAATGGGCATGTTATCGTACCTCATTACCTCAGCAGTTTAATGAAGTCAAACTCAAAATCAAGTTCTGCGACTGCGGGACAAAATGGCTTAGATCCATGGCATTGAAGCTTTGTGTTGACTCAGGGTATGAAGTCTTTGTCGAGCTATGCAACCGTTACCACCTAGCAAAAGGTAGCAATTACCGTATTCATGATTGACGGCGTGAAAAATTCCTATCCCGAATCCTCTAGGTCGTCTATAGCAGCTAACTGGGACCCAATACAGAAGCTACAGTAGAGTTTAGATGCTTGGAAAGAATCGTGTTGCCGTTGATTTATTCAAGAATGTGGAACATGTCGATTCATGACTTTCCGGACTGATGCTACTCTTACTGTTGGCCAGCACTGATATAGAGTCTCGCATTGTAAACTTGCTGGCGAGGAGAGATCTATGACATACCTGACGATACGAGGAGTCGCACAGGCACCATGTTTATCACCTGTACTGCATCTCATACACGTCACGATATCATGTGCACGCATCACCCATCCGATGCTACCCTTATATGCGTGAAATATGCTGAGGGTATTGTTCTGTTGGCTTCAGTACAGTTCAGATCTGGATTTTAAGGTTTCCTCGTTTCCGTTGAAGAGGTAGGGAACTGGGTGAGCGACAGTGGCGTAACGCTTAATCCGAAGAAATCTGGAAAGTCACTTTTGCTGTGCAAGGTGTGCCGGTAGAGCCTGTATGGAATTTGTTTTATGAACTGTGCCGTTCCCACAGTAACTTGTTTCAAAAAAACTCTGCAATAAGTTACCTTGGATTGAATATGAATAAGAGCCTGGGCTGGCAGCAAGAGGTGAATGCTATGCTTGGTGAAGTCCGGCGATCAGACTGATTTGGGTGCTGTGCAGATTGAGAAGGTTGTGCGTTGGTTTGGAGGTACAGAAAGACAGCCAAAACCTGCATTGTACCGCCCTTCCTCTCCAAAAAAGACAAATGACACGTATCCGGGGTCCTTAAAAACCATTTGATCACTTTTTTGTAACTGCTGCTCAAACGAATTAACGTTAGGTCCATCCTGTCCAGATGATTGTCAAATACAGCAGTTGCTCTGGGCAATTCTACTCTATGCTATGCTTTAGCAGTGCCTTTCCAGGCGACCAAGCGCAAGGTGCGTGTAAGTTCCTTGTCAATGCCGGTCAGCTCATTGAAGTCTGCTGAGGCCAGTCACTCCGTTCGTTGTCTGATGTCTGATCGGTCCAAAGAAAGAGGAACTGTTTTGAAACAGACAGGGGTCCCTTTGACATGAATCCACTTTCACTGCTGTCATTACCAGTTGACTGTTATATACACGGTTTTGGCGGCATAATGTTTATCGTTCTAGGGTTCCTTTGCTGGTTGATTTCAGTCTAGAATGAGACCCTTAGTGTTGCAGCCCAACAAGTTCAAAATTGCGACCTACAAGTTTGATTGTATGCTCCAAAAAATTACCAAGAACAGCAGCTTGAAAAAAGAATATCCCAAGAGAATTCTCTATGAATCCATTTTCGCATCCATCATGATGCGTGTTCAATCACTAGTGCAAAGAATGGCATGTCAAGAGGAATAATGCAGGAACTATGGTTGATAATAAAAGTCATTGTTGGCCTTTAAAGTCGCTGACCAACAAATCAATAGCAGATGGCGAGGAAAGATTGCCTAATGCTTTAGAGATAAAGCTGTCTCGCAGCAGTATACTCTGCTATGAACTCAGACGAATCAGTTGTGGGTAATCATTCGTACTTACTTTTAAGGAGAACGTAATGCCATGTGCCTTTTACTGTCTGACCTTTGAATAAGATCAGAATCCAACCGTATTCAGTTAGAAATGTGGGTGCAGAGGCAAAGGAAAATGCACCACATTATTTAATGGCATTTCTATTAACCAATGAGTAAAATAATAAACAGTAGCTGAAGGTCTTAAGTACCGGAATCTTTCTCACAAAAAATCAACTAATGTTTAAGGATAGAAAGCGGTGTGTGAGAACGGAGAGACGGCAGCTGTCGGACGGGAGACCAACATTCCACCTGGAGAAACAAGGTCCAAGAGGCATGCTTTCACTGAAGATATTTCCTTCTATGATGCAATAACTGACATTTTGGCATTTTGGCAAAAATGTTGTGAAACTTTTGTAAAGGAAAACAACGGATTTCACAAGCCAGTGAGGTTCTGCTTATCCAAACAGCTCAAAGAAATGAGGACGTACCTGACGGTATGCAATGATTCATTTTTAGCATTGTCGCATGGATTAAAGTTAAAATTTCTGGTTTAAAATCGTATCTATTTTCGTGGCACGTCATCAGCAGAAGAAAGTCATTTCTTATCGTATTACTGCTCATTTGGCCAATTTATTTCGTTGTTGGATTCCCTCTTCGAGCTCTGGACTGAACAGGATTGTCAACCTTCTGATCTTTACATAATCAGCAATCGCAGTAAGACTGTAGATGGATTGAAGAGAGAAAGCTGCCACCGTCTACAGTGCAACTTTTCATCATGAGGCAGGACATGGGATGCGAGAGCGAGTCGCTGCACAACTGAACTCAGGCAGCATTATATTGCTTTATATCATGAACCATTCGATTAATTTATGAATCAAATTTAATTTTTAAATGTTACTTTCATTTTCTAACTTGCATATATGAAACATTTTGTTCATACGTTGGCAGTCTAAAAATAACGCAAAAGAAAACTCGTTTAATGATGCACAATGCGTCTGTTGGAAGATAGACTAGTTCGATGCTTCAACCCGTGTCTCAAGCCCTGTTCAAAATAAGGTAGTAAGGTAATTAATAAGTAACAAGGTAATTTTCGGTTACTGTAAAATTTGTTTTCTGCAGCAGCCAGTTCGTTTGGAGTCAGGAACTCCTTCCGCTGTATGTCTTACTGATCCAAAGAAATCACTACCTCCAGCTGCTGCCAAAAAACGCAACAATAACAACGCAGCAAAAATTAATATATTCCTCAATGAAGATTGAATTTTCCTTCTGGTTCTAAGCATAAGAACAGCTGCTAACGATTTCGCAAGCCAACCCAGCTATTTACTTTGAAGGAGCTCGGTGAGACACGAGGGAAAACGTCGGTCCCGGTTAATCATCTGATTGACGTAATTATTAATTAATTTTTTGCGCATTAGGTATGCATTAACCATGTTTCATGTTGCTTTGAACATTCATTGCCTTGACGAAGCCCCCCTCGCGCTTTAAAACAGGTTAATCACCCGATATACCACCATATTGGGTTTGTGCAAAACTAAACAGCCTCTGAAATGTCTGTTTGACATGGTATTAATTAATATTTTTTAAAGGATGCTTTGAAGAACTGCAGCTGGTTGATTTGAAACATGGGGTAGCGACGGAGACCTCCTCTAACCACGGTGCAGAGAAAAAAAGAGCTTCAAACTTTACTGAGGTAGAGGTGCCTCTGAAGGAACGGAAATTGCGACAGTATAAAACGCGCGGTTTTCTTGTCGCCGCCTACAAAACCATGGAGCACACGTACAATCGAGAATTTGCCAGCTCCTGGAAGACGTGGACCGGCGTGCGATACATATGCATGCAGCTGCCAAAGCAAGTCAGCCTGCGACGAGTCGCATTTTACCGTCAGATAGGCACCACCTCTGATTTCACTTACGTCCTCGTGATGGAAGTGGACAACCTCCTGCTGTACGCCTCTCAGACGCTCAACCTCGTGAGCGGAATCAGGCTCAGACTGTGTGGTTACACGGCGGTATACTACGAAGACAGCTTCAACGTAAGCTTGAGTTTTTCATGATTAGTTTCAGTTCTTGTGTTTGTTTTGCTACTATTTATGTTTATTGTCAGAGGATACCGCTCATCATACTCGACCTTAGAATGAGTCTGTTTTTTATGAGGGAACATAATGCCTCTAGGTCACTGTACTGTTTAAATTCTACTAACCTTTAGCGACGATGACAAGGCTGGCAAGTCTGTGCTGCTGCCCCATAGGCTAAGCAAGAAAATCTGTTATAAATTATAAAAGTGTCCAGGAAACCGACATTCCACCGTTATAACCTTCCTTTCTTTACCATACTACTGTAAGATCGCTCCATAGGAATCACTGTCAGGAAAATAGCTTATTTTAGATTGTACATGAAAATCTGAAATATAACAACTCCTTAGAGGGTGGCCTATGTAACTGTTTTCTTGTAGTTCGCTCTTTATGAATTTTCTAAAGGAAATATTCTTGTTGCCAATTCAGTTCGCCGGTTCACCACAGCACCAGTGTTTCCATCCACAACCAGGATTATTCCCGGATAAATGTACCAGCACACCCCATCATTCACTGCGTCATATCACAGGATTTAGAGTTATTGGAAAAGGCTGGGATTCTAATAATTTCCTGTCGTCTTAGCATTGACTTGAAGTGCTGTTCTTACACAGCTGTACTACAGAGACTGCTTGAATCAGGAGTGCTCAATCGAATGAGCATTAGATTCACAATTGACAGATCATTAGTTAGAGCCTCAATGTGGTCACTTCCGTTTCATCATTTATGAGGCGGATAAATGAGTACTTCTTCTTGGACGAAATCAGAAAACTGAACACTGTAGATACAGGTTTAACAGAAAGAAGTGAACAGGTGCTCTTAATCCATGATGCAGCAATTAATGTTATCGCCCCTTTTCAAACCAAGTGGAAAACTAGTGCCACATATAGCGACCGGTCATCGAAGCATCATCCCAATGGTTGTCTGATTTCGTTTTCCTGTGTAATCGTTCGGCAGCAAGATGTCATCCGCATATTCGCGCTCTATTGAAAATACTCTACCTTGAACTGTGTTGCTGAGTAACAATCAATCCCTCATTATTTTGTAGTAACAGAAGAGGTAGCCCTTCATTTTGACATAAAGGTAGCGCCACGTAGATCTTTGGCTCGGGAAGCTCAGTTGGTCTCTTCTTACTAACGCTCACACTTATGCCTTATGATTTATGGTTTATATTTCAACACCCTTGGATGTTAGACAGATCACATGTGATTCTCAGCTCACATGCTAAAGTAAAAATTTTTTTATGTGACAGCAG